TGTGTCTGTGGTTGTGCGCCTCTGCGCGTCTGTGTCTGTCTCTCTCTCTCTCTCTCTCTCTCTCTCTCTCTCTCTCTCTCTCTCTCTCTCTCTCTCTCTCCCCCTCCTCTGGCCTGTCCATCCATCCAACCTGTCTTTCCTCAACTGCTCTTGTTCAGTAGGGACGACTCTGAGTTGTCTTTACTGAACACTGACCTTTCTCTGAGCATGGTCTCCCCACCAGTGTCTCTGGATGGGGCTGGGATCTCAGGTACCCCATGGGGTAACCTGGGTCCTGAGTCCCCCCAGGAGCTCAACACTAGAGCCTGGATGCGGGAGCTGGAGTAGGGGAATCCTGAGTTCAGCCTCTGCTTAACCCATCTTGGGAGAGGCTGGCCCTAGAGGTAAAAGGCTGTCATCTGACCCAAGGCAAGAAATGGGCGTGAAAGGCTGGAGTCTGAAGGCTTCTAAGCACAGACAAGAGCAGCAGCCACAGTCCAGGGGCCATCAGAAGATACGTGGTCAGATATGAGAGCCTTAACTCTGGGACCTCCTGCCACCAAACCTTCTGTAGCCTCAGCTCTTACTTACAGTTCCTTCTCCCCCAGGACAGGACCCTTGAGACATCAACTGCCTCAGGGGCTCATAAGACCTGGTTCTTGTCCCCAAACAGATGGAGAAGTCTGACAGGGACAGAGAGAGGCTGAGGGCATAGTGGCCCTGTGTGAGAAGGCAACAGCTCTGGTTGTCCCTCCCAGCCCCAGGGCCGGTCTTTGGTCCTCTTCTGGCCTTCTGGGCCAATTGGGAGCATCTTCCTGGTTCACTGAGTAATCTTAGACCAGGCAGGCTTCCACGGGGGCTCTGGCCCTTCAGGCGAGTACAAACAGTGTCTAGCAGTGTCTCTGCCTAGGCTATAGCCTGCAATGAACAGAGAGAGGTAAAGAAGGACCATGCCCGGTTCTCAGTGTCCCAATGTCCTGGGTGACCCTTGCTCTCCTGGCTCTGCCCTACTCCTGTGTCTCTTTAAGGGTCATGTAAGTCCATCTGTGTCTGGCCACCCTCCTTCTCACTAGGTGCCTCTTGACTGGACACAGGTGGGGGGATATCCCCACCCACCCAGGGCATCAATGTCACAGACCTTAGGGTTAGGTTCCTGGCGCTTTGCCCTGGGAGCCCCGGAGATGTTACTCACTTCCCATGTGTTTCTTCTTCCAAACTCCATAAGCCACAACCAACACCATGGGTACAGGAAGGAAGGTCAGCACCAAGACAATCGCAGTAAGGTTAGACTCCTGGGACCTGAGGAGGCAGGGCCAAAGCGACAGACTGAGTACCAGGCTCCCCACCCTGGACACAGTTTCCTCTGGCAGAATGAGGGGCTTCTTCTAAGTGCTCTGCCCTCTCTCCCTGGGGACCAGCTGTGGGGTGAGGAAATGAGACAAGAGTCCTGGGGAAAGGGAACAAATCCACTTGATGCCTCTTCTCTATTGTGTCCGATCATTGATGAGGAAAAGGACTGCAAGATGCCTTAGGACTGGAGAGATCAAAATCCTCCCCTCCATAGGGACAGAGACTGCCTCTTGCCTGCTCTGTCCTCTGCAGAGGCGCCCCCTTGTGGGCAGCACTAGCACTTGCATCTCTGCTTGGCCACCAGAGCCCTTTAGGCCCGCCGCCCGCCACCAATGAGGAAGAGTTGGCCTATCACTGTAACAGCTCCCTTGCCCAGTTCTCAGCAGTCGTCTGAGAACTGGATCCAGATGCTCAGTGGGATGATATTCTTATTCTTGTGTGCACAGTAGATGCCAGCTCGAGCACAGTTTGTCACCTGACTTCCCTTCTCTGTCCCACTTCCCCTCCATTTTCTAGTGCTCCAAGTAAAATGCCAGTTCTCTGCACAGAGTCTAGGTGGACCCCCCTCAAAACACTCACAGTACTCACCCCCTTGCACTGTCCCTTCCCTTTCTTCTCCATCCATAGTCCCAGCCCTCACCCCCACTGCTTTCCTTTAGGACCTTTCTAGTGTCTCACACCTCACACTGAGTCCCTGGGGGGCAACGGGGAGGAGGGTCGGATACAAGAGTTGTTCTTGAGGTCTGTCAGCCCCCAGGAGCCAGGGCTATGCCTGATGGAGTATCACGCAACAGGTACCTGATGGAGGTTAACTGGTGGCAAATCCCCGTGGTGGGTGAACTGGTGCTCAAGGGCCCGGATTTGGTGGAAGGGGACACTGGATCGGCAGAGAAGGTTCCAACACTGCTAGGAGACATGGTCACTGGCTGGGACCCTGTGGTGCTCCTGGGCTCTGCGGTGGTGGTGCCGCCAGTACCAGTGGAACTGTAGGGTGTCACAGAGGTTGACCTGGTGGTCCCTGAGGCCAAGGTGAGGAGTCCAGATGTGAACACAGTCATGCCAGAGGTGAAAGGGACATGAGGGCCTGAAATGGGGACTTGGCCCGATGTGACAATTCCACTCGTGGTGTTGGGTAGTTGCATGGGAGGAGTGTTTCTCTCAGTTGTGAGGGCTGAGGGACCAGAGAGGAAGAACCATTAGATTGAGCCAAGAGGCCTTGGTGTGACAGCCAGAACTGGAGGCCCTATGAGATGTCTGGGCCCCTTAGAGAGCCTGCTCTCTGTGATCATAGGCCTGACTTCTGAGTGGCAGGCATGCGTTCACTCAGAAGATGACATCAGGAAGGAGAAAGTAGACAGGTAAGGAAGGGAGACTCTGTCACAATCTTTTTAATCTCCCCTATCAAGCCATCTGCTCCAAGAGAATACCTTCATCCCCACCCTTATCTCTCTTGTTTTCTAGGCTCTTCTTATTCATGAAGTCCAGAGATTTTTTTTTAATTACACTTCTTTATTGTGTGTCTGTGTGTGTGCCCTCATGTGTGAGTGGAAGGCAGAGGACAACTTGCAGGAGTCGGTTCTCTCGTTCCACCACATGAGTACCTGGGCTTGAACTCAGATCATCAGGCTTGGTGGCCACCTGCTGAGCCATCTTGCCAGCACCCTTCCCCACTTTTAAATCCCAGAGAGATTTCTATAATATAACGTTGGAGCTACCTACCCTGTAACTGGCAGTTGGGGTCTAGAGTTGAGGACAGGGAGGGATCAACGATTTCAAATTCCAGAGGGAGCTACAAAGAGTTGAGGTGAGATACCTTCCTTGGGGGGTATACTGAGATACCTCAGGACTGATCCTGCCCCCTTGGGCCATCAATCCAATCCTCCAAAGTAAGTTGGAGGTTTGGATAGAAAGTGGGACTAGGAAGCAGGAGTTCTGAGTCTGGTGTCTCAGCAGGAGTAAGACAATTGGAGAGGGGCTGCTGATCCCGCTACTGAGCACAGAAAAGATGCATTCCTGGGGCCCGTGGTCACCATGCAGCATGGCCTGAGCCACTGTCTGAGCAAGTCAACTCTGAACGTCAAGGTGAGGTGCAGATGGAGGAAGAGGTCCACCTGTGGCCAAGTCTCCCATGATAGGGACACACCAAGGACCCTTCAAGGAAGTATCGTGGGAGAGACTGAGTTTGGACCCTCACTCAGAGCCTTTCAAAGCAGTGGCAGGAAAGGCCTCAGCCAGCGGAGGGGACTTCCTACCTGCCAGCAAAGCCATACCACTGTCTCCCTCCCTTCATTCCTGCCTCAGCACATCACAGTGTGTGGGAGGGGAAAGTCTCAGGAGTGATCAAGAGGAACCTACCTTTCCCACCTTCCAAACCAAAGGAGCTGGGTAGCAAACTACCTGCTTCCCCAACTCAGTTGTGTGTCAGGTTATGGAAGATGAGATTATAATTGGGCTGAGGATTTTTTTCCTAATAACTGAAAATATGGGCAAGGTTGAAATATTCTCAGATTATCTTTAATAAATAGAAAATAAGGGGATGGGGAGGTAACTAAGTCAGTAAAGTGCTTGCCATACAAACATGAGGTCCTGAGTTGGATCCTCAGAACCCAAGTGTGGTGGTGTGTGCTTGTAATCCCAGTGCTGGGGAGAAGGAGATGGGTGGATTCCTAGGGCTTGCTGGCCAGCTGGCCTAGCCTACTTGGCAAGCTCCAGGCCACTGAGAGACCCTGTCTAAACAAACAAACAAATAAATAAATAAATAAAGAAATAAATAAGATGGACGATGCCTGAGGAATGATACTGGAAGTTGACTTCTGGTCTCCTCATGTGCACACACACACACACACACACACACACACACACACACAGAGAGAGAGAGAGAGAGAGAGAGAGAGAGAGAGAGAGAGAGATTTCTCTAGACCCACCAATATCTTCGTATTGTACTTGAAATAAAACCCAACTCCATGCCATGAAATGCAGGGCCGCTTGACTCTCCAAGCTCAGAGCCTAAATAAAAGCAACCAATCACTATGAAACATATTCATCCTTCAGGGTTCCCTTAATCTACCTTCCCTACACTCAGCCTGGACCAACCATACCAAGCCTCGTTTTATAGGTCTGCTTTCTTCTCACCTCAAGGCCTTTGCTTGTGCAGCTCTCCCTACAGGTGAGAAAACTGTCATCATTCAGAGTTCTGCCGAGCACCATCAGAAAGCTGTTCCCTGGATGTTCAGTACACCAGTAGCCTCCCCTGACTTTCTAGCTCACTACTGTTTTCTAAGAACATTTATTGTCTGCAATGAATTGTCTGGATGGTGTGTGTTGCTCTCTGGCATCTCCCACAGGGCAGGGTTGTGACTGATTCTGTTCATCACTGTATTCTCAAAGCCTAGAACAGTGTCTGGCACATCCTACCTGGGTTTTATTCTAAGTATAGCAGGAAGCTATTGGAGGGCTTAGAGAGATGTGTTACATTTCTCTCAATGAATAGAGGTTGAATGGATGACTGAATAAAACAAAGCTCACAGTCCCGAGTTCAAATCTCACCTCTGCCCCAGGGCAAGCTCAGAGCTGCACAGAGCTTCTTAAAGCTCATTTTCTTCATCTGTCAAATGGTGTTGGGAAGATGTATGTGGAGAATAACTATTGTTATTCTAATCCCATCCATCCCAGCTCTCCACAGACCTGCTCACCTGGAGACACTTCCAGCAAGAAACCCACTAAGGGGTAGAGGATCCCAGAGGTGTTGCGCATGCACCAGTATCGGCCAGAGTCCTGGATTGTGAGGGCCTCCATGGTGATGTGGACCACCTTGGCTTTGACATCATCATGAAGTGAGTAGCGGGGGCCCTTCATGGCGCTCCGGAGGAAGCCTAGGTCACACTTCTTCTTCCTGACTTTGCACCAAGCCTTGCCCTCCGCACGGTTTCTGCGGCCCGTGTAGTTGCACTGCACAGACATAGTTTCCCCTTCACGCAGTCTTACTTTTGTGTACACGTTCTCGGCGGGGGAACCTGGGGAGACAGGACTTGCTGAGCAAGGTCTGGTGAGAGAGGGAGAAGAAGACATCTTGAAACTGTAAGTTCAAGGTGAAGGGAGAGGAGGATGCTGCTTTCACGCAGCTCCTGTGAGAGAGAAGCACAGCCCTCCCCTCAGGGAGCTCCCCCCAGTCTGATGGGGAGAAAACTCAAGACCTACTAACAGCTCACTCCCTGTCTGATGGGGTGGCCCACAAACCACTCAAGGAGTCCCCAGTCTAGTGGAGGAAATGCGGCCCTGGCACGCAGAGCTCCGCCAGACATGGTCTCTTTTCTTCACGGCATTTTCAAGTCCTCAGTGATTCCCAGTCTTGTGGGAAAGACTAAGACCCTGCCTTTAGGGAGACATGCACAGACTCCAATAGGTCATTAAGGTGTGAAACTTCAGACCACAGACTACTTAGGTTGATGAAAAGGTCCAGTGTTTGAAAAGTAATGAGGAATTGTTTTCCCCCAATAATCTTTTCTGCACTCCCTCCCTCCTCCTCCTCCTCCTGTTCCTCCTCTTCCTGTTTCTCTTCCCCTCCCCTCTCTCCCTCCCTCCCTCCAATTTGCTTTATTTGGGGTTCAGGAATTAAACACAGTGCATATTAAGCAAGCATTCTACCACTGAGCCATACCCCTAGCCCCTATTGAACATCTTTTAAATAGATTTCTTAGTGGTGCTTAACTTTTTAAAAATTTTATGTGTGTGAATGTATTGCCTGTATGTATGTAGGTGCACCAATGTTGTGCAATGCCCACAGAGGTCAGAAGAAGGCGTTGGAACCCCCAGAATGGGGGTTATGGATGGTTTTTAGCCACCAGGTGGGTGCTGGGAACCAAACCCAGGTCCTCTGCAAGAGAAGTATTCTTAACCACTGAACCATCTCTCCAGGCCCGATGCTTAATTTTTAAATAGTCCAATTACATAAAACCCATAGATAAAGCATTTCAGACACATTTATAACTCCCCACTGACAGGTCATCCAACAAAATCTATAGTAGATATTCACTGTTCATCCAACTTTTTGACATTAAGACTTGACCTTGTCTTCTATAATTGTGTTGAGCTGTATTCATACTTATCCTGGGTCGTACTGTAGCCTTTAGACCATAGATTGGACATGCCTGGTAGAATGTCCGGTCTCTATGTCCTATGAATGAGATGCGGTTCAAGCCTGTGGCAGTGTGTGAGAGGCTGAGGAGGATCAGAGTTCAAGACCAGCCTGGGCTTACAGTATATAGCAAAACCCTATCTCAAAAAAGAGAGAGAGGCCTAGGGAGATGGCTTATTGGGTAACCATGCTTGCTGAACAGGCATGAGAAGAAATCCCCAGAACCCAGGTAAAAAGCTAGACATGGTGACACATGTGCCTGTAACCATAGCACAGGAGGGTGGCTGGGACTTGCTGGCTGTCTAACTCCAGGTTCAGTAAGAGACTGTGTCTTAAGAAAGCATGGGTGTATGTGTACCTGCACACACTTATACACACACACACACACACACACACACACACACACACACAACCCCCCCCCACATGAACACCATACACATACGTGAGAGGAAGAAGAAGAGGAGAATGTGGTCTGTGCCCTTCATAATCCAGTCTAGTGGAGAAAAAGCAAAACCAGGGGATAGCTGGGAGATTCAAGAGACAGGAAGGCGGGAGAAAGGCCTAGAAGCCCAGACATTTGTCCCAGTTTCCAACCCAGTTGGCACTGTAGTTGAGGCTCTGAGAAAGGTAGGGATCCTAGCATCTTCTCTTCCCTCACAAGGTAAGCAGAATGATCCCACTCAAATACGTGATAATTGGCCAAGTATTTCCAGAAGGCTTTCTGCAGAGAGGCAGAAATGGGGTAACCTTGGGAAGCTTCCTGGGCTCCTGGGCTCACTGTGTATTCACCACCTCATGGGCAGTGAGGGGTGGGTCTTCCAGCCCTCCCCAAATGCAGAACGGAACAGGAAGTGGTAAGTGGTTGCCTTGGCAGCCCGGAAGGCAGGAATGGGTGAGCCCCTTTCTAGGAGCGTTAGTAGAGGAAGGCTGCGAAAGGCCGTCAGGGATTGGTTCTCTGCAGTTCAGAGCACGAGACAGGATGTGGCATCAGTATTTCGAGAAAAAGTGAGCTGAAAGCATGCAGATGGGATACAATGACTCGTGCCACAAGTCAGAGCTCTCTTGACAGAACTTTCCACAAAGGCCAACAAAGGCCATTTCTGTGAGGAAACCAAGTGCCCCACTGGTTCTCCACAGTGAGGAAACCAGTAGATAAAGAAGCCAGGACTTCACCCCCCCTGTGAGGCCTGCCTTAGCTCCGCCTGGGAACAGTCATGAGCATGGAACATTCTTAGTGGTCTCTGGTGAAAAGCTATGAAGTCAGTCCAGCCTCCTCGTCCAGCCCACACAACATGAAGAAAAAGCAGAAGGTGGAGGGGACAGGAAGAGGGAGGGGACCATTCCCTCCCCGGTCAGCCTCCCACTTCTCACCTGAGACACAGCTCTGTAGCCACAGCAACACCACCAGCAGCAGCAGGAGAAATGCAGGAGGCCTTGGCTCCATCCAGAGGGAAGGAACAGTCACAGGCCCAGCGAGAGGCCTAGACACCTGGGGAATCCAAGGTTAGGCCCCAGACTGACCAGGGACATGCCACCTGGGTCTACCAGGGAGCGTTCTCAAAATGCTGTTGCCCATTTAGGGAAGTGAGGCGGTGTGGCACCCACTACCCGTCCAGCCTATCATAAATATGGTGAGAGTGAGGGCGGGCGCTGGTGGCTGTTTCCGCCCTCTTCCTCAGAACTTAGGGCAGGTGTGGCTGCCCCACCCAGTCTGGGGCCCCAGAGCTCGGGAAGGCTCACAGAACCCTACAGTTTCTGAGATTCTCTACAGAAAAACAGATCCACCAGGGCTGTGACAGCTGATCCACCCAGCGCCTCTGGAACCTCCCAGACACAGACTTTTATGGAATCTTCTGAACTCAGAGACTCAGGGGCGGGGGCGGTCTGGCTGGCCTTAGACACTCCTTCAACAAGGAAAGGCTTGTGAGCACCGGATACTCATTGATGTCTGGCAGAATTTACTCATCGTGCACCTGAGCCCTGCTCACTGTTGCACATAACCTCTCATGGGTTCACGTGCACTCTTATTTTTGTCATGGGTGAAAAAGATGCAAATTTTTAAGACTCAGAGCACAAAGTTTGGGCTCAGAGAGGGGCTCACACGTTCTCAAGTGTCAGTCTGAGAACCTGCTCTCCGTCTCTGCCTGTCTGCCTCTCTGTCTCTTGCTGTCTCTCTGTCTCCGTCTGCCTGTCTCTGTCTGCCTCTGTCTCTCTCACTCTGTCACACACACACACACACACACACACACACACACACA